CCCATTTTTCTTCCAATCTAAGCCCGCATTAGTGCTTAAATACATATCGAGGACGTGTAAGACGGCAATCACATAACTCTGTTTGCGACGTCGCAGACTTCCTTTCATACTTCATTTTTTAAACGGAAAACTACTCAATGGCAGTTCTTTAAAACTGCTGTGATTTTTCTTCTCTGTACGAAGAAAATTCTGTATAAACTTCAAGGACTGATGTCAATTTGTTCTCCTTTAAAAAAAATAACATAGAGGCGGAGATTTTCAGACACCGCAAACAAGTTATGTGATTGCCGACTTACACCTTTGATACGTGTACATAGTACAGTGCTTACTACTCCTTTCAATTGACCAAATAATACGAGTTCCAAAGACTAGAAAGTTGGAGTACATGCTTACTGGAATAATTTGATGCAATTAATATCATCACCCAGATAATTCGAAAATCAGGAACGCTATTGGAATTAAAAATTTTATGTGTGCCAGAAAATTGGCTGAAAGATGAAAAAAATTCAACTTTCATATTTGAAACTCGGAAGCTTTATATGGTTTTTCCCGAGAAAATCCTTGGGATGAGAGAGAAAACTTCGGTTTCTCATCAGAGAATGAGCTCTTAAACATCAGGTAAAAATCAGAACGAGTATGGTCAAGAATTCTAAACACCATGCTGTAGTAGGTACATTTGTCATTAAGTGGGTCTTGTATAGTTCTGTTAGAAAAGGTCATAACTGTACCCATCAAACTTTAATTTATTTCCGAATTTAATTTCTTCAAAAGTCATTGCAGCTTTATTTGGGAAGTCTTCAGAATAATTCATAAATTTTGTTGTCAGTAAGTATGAAGAATTTTCTCAGAAGGGCTGTATTCTATCATTTCCTGAAAACTTGATGGATGATGGTTTAACTGTTTCTTTAACTCAACCGTTGAATTTGCTCATTCTTTTACAGGGCTCTCTATGAAAGGATCGTGCTCCTGGAGCAAAGTAATCGTGAACAAGAGGCAGAACTTCGAAAGTCACAACAGCAAGTATCTTCACTGTCTGCTGAATTGAGTGTTTGCAAGGAGCATCTTTCTCGCATCATGCATTCGGGAGAGTATGTTTGGAAGATCAACAAGTTTAAGTTAACTCTGAATAGAATGCTCATAAATCCAACCTATATGTACTACAGTCCGTACATTTACACATCTGCCTATGGGTATAGGTATGTATGTTTATATTTAAATATAAAATCAAATTTATATTTAAGCATCTAATTAAATGAATTGAACCACATTTTGTGTAATTTAAAAATATAAGTCAAGGGTTGCCTGCAATCTGAAAAACGAAGAAAGTCGGGGAATCTGCGGCAACTAAGAAAAATCAGGGAATTTCTGACACATCTACTAATCACTAAAACGTATCACTGATGTTCCGAATGTTTACTTTTACTCGGCATTTTTAAGACTTGTCATCTTTAATCTAGCCACTGAATGTAGTTTTCCATGATTCGATTGCTAAATGAGAACTACAAAATCTAGAAAAAGTCAACATATTTAAAAAAAAAAAAAAAAAAAAAATTGTAAACATTTTGTCGAGAGGTCTGAAAAAGTCAGGGAATCAGGAAACTTTAGATTCAGGGAAAAGCAAGAAAAGTCAGAGAATTGGAAAATGAAAAAATTATGGCAACCCTGTGAGTCCAAAAATTACATAATACCAGAAGCCCTTTGTGTTCTTATTATAAGTCTCTTTTGCTTTTATTTTTTACCAGATTTCGGGCGAGATTGAATATCTCCTTGCAAAATAAAAACTACCTGGCTTTGAACATTCACCTTGTGTCAGGAGACCACGATGCAACCTTGGACTGGCCATTCTCCGGCCAGATCATGTTGGCCGTTGCTCACCCGGACGATTCGTTGTTAACAGTCAAAGAGACAGTCATGTCAGAACCAGATCTAGAAGCTTTCAAGCGACCCATCAAAGACATGATGAATGCTCGAGCTTTCGGCTTCAATGAATTCATTTCCATCTCGCAGGTTCTTGAGAACGGCTACTTGGACGATGATACCTTAATCATACGAATCCAGGTCAAAATAATTTAATTTTTTTGCCTTGTCTCTTTTGCGGTTCAAGAGAGGCTCTCTTTTGTGATAGTCAAGCAGGGTGTTTACTTGTGAAAAAGTTCAGAACATTGGATATAAAAAGATGATTTTGAAATTTTGAAGATGTAGCCGTAAGTATGAATTGCATTGTACGCTCTAGTGAAAGAGTTTTGCACCAACCAGCCTCACTTATGTGTAAAAGAAGACCTAATTGATGGTTAAGACATAATTGGATGCAAAAGATAACATGACTTGCCTTCTTAAAATAAGGTTTTACAATTGTACTTGCAGGAATAAGCCTGAAATGTAAAAAAGTTTCAACAGTTGAATGCTGTGCCGCAAACTGTACAACATAAAACTGTTGTGGAGCTACAAATCATAGCTTGTTGAGATTATGTTATTATTTGCATCCAAAAAGCTGGAGTGAAGTCGATCTAATCAGCCCCTTTATTAGGGAGTTAAGTAATTCATATCGAAGCTTTAATAAGCACCGATAAAGCACTTCATTTTTCTTTTAGAGGAAGTGCTTATTTTGAATGGTTGGGAAATACTATTCAAGGAGTTTGAGAACTTTTGAAAAGATCTCAGGAGACGTCCTGCTTTATTATTGTTACTTTTTAACTAGTTTTTCTTTCCGTCCATTTATAACTTGTAAAAGTCTATCAATGCATTTTTGGAGTCAGCAAACTATCAGCACTAGTTACTTACTGCTATGCTGTAGGTGTTCCAAAACCTCTTGGAAAATCTACGTCCATTTTTTTTTTGCCCTTTCAGGTAGCATCAGTGAAACATTTCTTTCTTCGGTTACCTTGCATGCAAAAGGGGTAAAAACAGTGACCGAATCTCCATACAGGCGGCAGCTACCAGTAAAAATATATGGTTTAAGTACTTGGAGTTAACAGTCATTTAAGCAGGGTGTCGTCTTTCGCATTGGGTTTTTACAGTGTTGCTATAGTTTGCTGACTCCAAGAACCTAACTTCATTGACAGTATTTCTGTGATAATTTATTATTCTAATCATCACAATTGTATGAAGTGATTTATAATGCCAGTGGTTCGCTGATCTCAAGAATTAAAGGGAAAATCATGGTGGTCTAGGTAGCAATTAATATTTTCTGACCATCAAGAGGACCTCTATTCAGCAATGATCAAAGAATCATTTTTTTATTTTATTCATTCCGTCCAACTATAAAACGGGGGAAATCCCTTCAGCTTATAGTCAGTAGTTTAGTGACTATAGGTCATCGAACTCAAATTTTTTCTGTTAGATGTTTAATCGCACCCCTGCCGGCCATTGGTTCTGAAAGGTTATTTTTTAACATGTTGAAACATTTTTTCTTTCATTCCTGGTGATTTCTCATGTGATTGCCTCTAATTGAAACTTAATCATGCCTTCTTTTTTCCTCTGTTTTTGTTTGTGGTAATCTTACCGCGTATGTAATTTATATTCCCTGGGCCTTTAATCTGCAGCCCCAGTTTGGGAAAACTTGAATCAGGAAAAGAATTGCCTTTCAAAAGAATAAATAATTTCTTTTTGCTCTGATGTAACATTATTATAAATGTATCTGTTTTTTGTTTTTAAGTTTATTAATATAAAGTTTCATTTTAATTAATATAAAGTTTCATTTTAATTAATATCTTTTTTTTTTATCTTTGATCAGAACGAAAAAATCAACGGTGAAATTAACAGACCAAGTCTCTCAGTTTGCGATGTTGCAGACTTCCTGTCATACTTTATTTTTTAAATGGAAAACTACTCAACGTCAATTCTTAAAGATTTCCGTGTTTTATCTTCTCTGTGCTGCTCTGCAAAGAAAATTCTCTTTGACAATTTTAAGAAATGATATTGATTTGTTCTTCAAAAAAATCAAATGAGAGCAAAGGTTTTCAAACACCGTAAACTAAATACGTGGTCTGATAGTTTCACTGTCGAAATGTCTCATGAACTCAGTTTGTCTTCCTTTAAAGATTAGCATTTTCTCAAGAAGACGGCTGATGATATCATCAGAAAATGATGGGTGATCGAGAAGGCTAGAAATGAAGAAAGTTCTTTATCCAATGTTAGCTCTACACAATTGAGGAGCGTTCCGGAAAAGGGGCACATACGCGTATGTGCCCTTTTTCCGGAAACGGCAGAAACGAATTCCTCGCATCCTAATGTACCAATGTCCCGAGTTTCAGCTTAATTGATCAATTTTTGGAGCTATGAGACCAAGTTTTGTGAGGCTAAGTCAGGCGTATTTCATCTATTTGCCCCTGGGTACGGTCGCCGCGACGCGACGTTGAGGAGATAGCGCGCAGGGCGCAGGCAGGCAGGTAGGCAGGCAGGCAGGTGATGGGTACTGATATAAGTAAGGATCCCTCACTACCGATGCATCGCACTGACTCTACTAATGAATGCAATATCATCGGGTTGCAGTGATTGTCTACGCGTTGCACCGGTGACACGTGAAATTTTGTAATTATTAATGATTCAATTTTTAATGGTCTCTTGTGGGTTTGAATTTTTCGTTTTTTTCGCGTGTTTTGCTGCCTTTTTCATTAACGAAGATCGAAAATGATCCACCCGCCCGTTCGCGATCGAAATTATGATTTATTTTCGTTTAGAAACTCGTTAAAGTCTTGAAAATTTAGCTTTGAAAGCCAAAACCTATAACCACCGATCCATTTCCGGAAAAAGGGCACATAACGGAAAATTTTAAAAAATTCCTCCCACAACACGGAAAGAAGTGTAAGTTTTACCAATGGTCGTTATTCATTCTAGAGTGTATGAACGTTGATATGAGTGCCCCAGTTCCGATGTATGTCATCATCAGTGCCCAGAAAGTAGGAATGAAAACTTCAAATGAGTCTTTCTCACAACTTGTTTTTTCGGTATGTGCCTTTTTCCGGAAAGCTCCTCAATTGTATTTAGCAAATGGGTGCGGTTTTTATACGAGGATTTAAAATAAACAAGTGGTTAGAAATGAAAACAAAACAATATGAACTATGCAAAACGATAATCCGGGTATCGGAACTTGGCTGTTTTGAAAACGCCTTCAAATGCGGCGAGATACCTCACGCATTCCGGAGAGTTCAAATAGTTGTATCATTGCGCCGTAAGAATCTGACGGATGATTACAGTTGAAATAGCCTTCATGCACGCTGGCTTTTTCAATTTCCGTTCACAGTTTTGCAGTTATGAATGCATAGCTGAATTGCGCTTCAGCTAGAATTATTGTAATCAAGGATTAGTGCGTCTAGCAAGCAATTGTGACCATATTTTTCTGAAGTAATGAATGTGTAAAAAGCGAACGCCTAAATTTTTTAATTCTTTTTTAAGCTTTTCTAAAGCGGTAGAAGATCAGCTGTTTACAGCTTAGCATTGTTTGTAAATACAAGAATTAAGATTATTGATCGTCTGTTGCTTTCAAAAAGTGTGTAAAGTTATCTGGCTTACACTCTAATATTGAGCAATATTTAAATTTAAATTGGAGGGTTTCTACTTAAAGAAATAAGTCGAATTTCTTAAAAAATTGACGCAGGAGTCTTTTCTAGTTATCTCCCAAAGGGAGACTAGGGGGCTTCTCTGGTTTGGTGCGATCTAGGAAACCGAGAAAAAAGCCTAGTACAGGTAGTATGGAACACCCTGTTTGTTGTTTCTCAAATGAGCCAGGAATATTAGTTCCGGATCTAGTTCCTTTATTTCATTGGTAAACTTAATTTTCCAGGCGGATTAGTTTTCTTTTATATGTCATGTCTTGTGTTGCAATACATTTCAAATTCAATTAATCACAAAATTTAGTCGATTTCTGCAAATTCGAGGGTGTCAAGTTGCATCACAATCTAACAGTGGCGATTTTGCAAGTTGGCAGCACTGATTTTCTTCAATTTACATCCATTAAATATATCGATTTTAGGTGAGGCAAGCTGCTTCACAAGAATCGATTTTTTCTAATACATTTAAATGAAGGAAAAACAGCGTTGCCAATTCGTAAGAATCGCCACTGCAACCTGACAATTCGTAAGCCAGATTATAATTTATCCAGGGCCGGATTAAGGGGGTGGCCACATGGGCCGCGGCCCATGGCGGCAAATCTATAGGGGCCGGGCGGCAAATTTTGCAATTTTTTTTAAATGTAGGTATAAAAAAAAATTCGGATTTAGAAAAAAAAAATATAAGCGAGAAAAGGCGACAAAATCTCTAATTTTCTGAGAGTATAGTAATTTCTACTTTTGTCGTCTTTCAGTGATATAAGAGGCAGCACCTTTAATTAGTCGAGTTAAAAGAAACAGAACACGCAATTTGGCCTGGAACGGCGCGACTTACCTAGAAAGAAATGATGACGAGGACTTGAGATTAACAGGAGAAGCCCTCGGCGCGGCGATCGGCATGTAACACATATTAGCGCCTACAAGACTGCAAGAATACTTCACACATTGCATCAAACTCAGTGCGGTCGTTGCGGACAGCGTGAAACGGATAGCGCCCACAAGAATGCATGAATACCTCACGCATTGCGGTAAACACAGTGCGATCAGCGTGAGACGCATAGCGCCTACAAGACTGCGTGAATACTTCACGCATTGCGTCAAACACAGTGCGGTCTGCGAGGCGCGGCGGCGGAAGTTACAATCATTGAACCACATTTATGTTTGTTCTTTCATAATTTTTTCGTTCATTTCTTATGAATGGAAGGTCTCGTCCACACAGAGATAGGTTTACGAAACTTAACTTTCGCGCAAAGTTCCGTGAACTTTTGCTAGTAGTGTTGACAGGGCTTTCCCAAAAAATGTGTTCAACACCAGCAAACGCGTCTTATTTTTTTTTTTTTTTTTTTTTTTTTTTTTTTTTTTTTTTTTGTATTGTCGCTTGAGAATAGTTACAAAATTACAAAATTACACTTACAATGAAAGTGAGTAAATAAGGATTTAGGGAACAATAATAATATAAGACTATGATATAGTTTGAGAGCTAATTTAGCTGAAAATTAGAAACAGTAAAAAGAGTTACTGGAAATCAGCAGGGGTTTAGGTTTGCGACACCGGAATCCGCCTGTTGGCATGCATCGGTATGGATGTAAACGCGTCTTATGCACCCCTCCCTCGATGGCACGTTCATTTGATGGTTTTCATTGATGTTTCAAAACGAATGAGAAGGGGGCGGCAAAATACTAGCGGCCCATGGGCGGCAAGTAGGTAAACCCGGCCCTGAATTTATCGTCAATATGTTTATCATCGGAACTATTTCTTTCGAGCTGTAGAAATTCAAACCGCGCCCTAACTCCAATTTGACTTATTAAGATAATGGATGTTTTTTTTTGTCTCCGAACGTTCGTAGAACACTCTTCTATTCTCTGGTACCAACAACTCAACGTTGAGTATTATTACTGACTTAAGTTTCTCTTCCTATAGACGGTCACGAATAAAAAATAAAATCAACGATGAAGAATTATGAAGAGAAGTTACCACTTCGCACAGTGGACCGAGCCAATAGGAGAAGTCAGACAAAATCTGGAAACTTTGAAAGCTTATATTTTCGAAAATATAAAACAAAAATGTTTATAAATAGTTCCGTTGATTTTTTCGTGCAATTTCCTTTCAAAAATACTCTTTGAAATTAAATTTGTGACGAAATAAATATTAAAACTTGAAATTTCAGTCAAACATTTCATGTCCGACCTCTTCTAGTAGCTCGTTCCACTGTACGTCGTGGGGCGTCGTTAACGTGCCCGTGTCTACGTGCCGCGTGCGTGCGCCTGCATAGATGCGTTAAGTGTAATGAAAGTTGCATTTTCTCGAATTGAAGGCGACACCTCTGTTGGAAAAGATACTGCAACCGCTGGTGGAACGGAAACTCGTGAGAATATCTGAATAAGTAAATGGTAATTAAAAGGTTTATTCTTTATTTTAACATTATGAGCAAGCAAAAGTATAGAAATTTCTCGTGTGGACATCAGTTTTTAATATTTTCTAATTATATTAATATTGTAAGCGAATATTTGCTTCACTGAATTTTTTTTAAACTTTAATGTGTGACTTTTTCTTTTGCGTTTGAGGAGGGGCAAGAGAATAACTTTTTATTTATCATCTGAAAATTCGTGAATTTCACCAGATTCATCTCCTAAAAGAAACCAACTTGATTCTTTTGAATGTTTTATGAATTATTTACTTGCGATTTTTCACCGCGAATAATACCTACAAGATGGTGAAGTAGTGTCAGGTACACACTATTTTAAGCTCAAAAGATCAAAAATTTCAATTAGAGTAAAAAGGTTGAGCTCTAATGAGCACCTATCAGTACATAACTGAGGGGGGAGAGTGTTCATTTGTTCCGTTCAGCTCAGGCAGTTTGCTTTGGAATATTAAGTTGAGGTCACGTCAAGAGATCTACAACGTTTTGGGTCTTTTTAGATCTCATCAGTAGATCACACTCGTCAGTGAGCCCAACTTAGCATTCCGCAAAATTCATGATGGCATCGAAACGAATACCTATGAGGTTTTTTCATTGTGAATTGTGTAAGAATACTAAGGTCATCATCAAAAGCAAGAAAACTTCATACAGTATCAAAAACCAGATTTATTTGAATCATAACTTAAATGTTAGCACATCGAATCAGGTACCTATACATTATGTATTTACAGCTGCAGCGATTACAATAATTAAGGACCTCCCTGATCTTGGAAAAAAATATGATACTTATCTAATCAAAATATGAAATCAAGTCAGCGCCCATGTAAGTAGAGTAGACACTTACAGTTTGCTCTTGTTATTTATATTGTACTTACATATCATATCTGACACATATATGTACAATCAGAGATATTAACGTAAACAATTGGTTTGATGACCTTCAACACACATTTTCTCACGATTGGAGATGTCGGATTGCAGAGATTATAGGAAGTTAACATCTTGTATTCAACTGCAGACTTTTTTTAAAAAAAAAAAAAAACAAACAATTCAATAACCCAAAAGTTGACGCCGTTGACGGAGGTGTTTCATGTGCGAAAGCAATTCGCCTTCAGCTGCGTCTGCAGCAATTGTTGTTATGAATATGTTGTGCGTGCTTATTTCAGTTCATTACATATTTGACTATCTGAAGGCGTTTTATGTGCGCAAGTAGCGCGATCTGTCGGAGAACGAACGAAGTAGGGATTGAGCGATTCATTTAATCGCACTCCTGTTGTTCTCCAACTTTCGCACATTAAACGCCTTTAGAGAGTAATCAGTAGATCCTAGAATATATATTCTCCTCCCTGCTTCCTATTTAAAAAAAATACTAGAAACCTTAATACTCTAAAAACATGGATGAAAAACAATTAGTTTGTATCGACTCTCGTAGGTATCGGCGATGAAAAAAGCAAAACACAAATTTCGATAGCGACGTTTCAAAATCTACGCTGTTTCTGCATTTAACTTTTTTTTGAAGAAAAAAAGCAATGCGCTTGATTGCTTGAAATTTTCACAGAACAGTTCATTCAGAATGAGTATAAATTAGGAAGAAACTCAAATAAAATGTGTTCGTTGGTTTTATTTTTCAAAATGTAAAATACAACAAGAAATCTGTAAATTTGCAAGTTGAGAAACGTGTTTTGCAACCTTCGCCGTCCATGTGAGTCCGGAGAATGTTGAAGATCATCAAAAATATTTTGATTATATATTACTTGATGGGGCGGTTATAATTATCAAGGGAGGATTTATAACAGAAATGCAAATTTTACAAAATTCGATATTTCATCGCTACTTTTTAGTTTTTACATTAGTCCACCCGAAAATCTGACGAACTGTACGTGGATCGTAAGTTTCTGAGAAATCATGATTTAGTGTGCGTTATCTACAAAGATGGTGATGGTTCCCGGTGATCGTCTCTCGGTATCTTGATTTGCAAGCATCGTCGTGGCAATTCACTCCTTCATTTTTTTCTTTTTTTAGTAAAAAAAAACTGTACCTACACAATTGAGTTAAATTAAAAGGACAACACAGATACAGGACAGGATTTGGGTATAACATACGCAAATCTTATGCACACAATTCTTTGATATAATTCTTGCACATATACGTCGCCACCTTCCGGCCAAAGTATTACAAGAGCCATGCGCCGTTTAAAAATTCCCGCCACCATTTTAATTTTTCACAGAGAAATTATTGGTAGATTTTCTTTGAAAATTTCACTGAATTTTATCGGCAGCACAAAGAAAATCCAGTGAAATTTTCGGACAGCTTCGTTGAACAAGTTCTCTGTGAGTAAATTAAATGGCGGCGGAAATTTTTAAACATCGAATGGCGCGCCTGTGATACTTTGGCCGGAAGGTGATGATGTGTAGTTCCTTTTACATAAATACGCTCTATTCCTAGTAAGCTAACTTAGGATGTTTGTTTTCTTAGCGTAAGAGCGTAAATTTTAAAACGCAAGAATTGTGCCTCGTGCTTTTACCTATAGTTTGACCACCGCTTGTAGGTGCTTTCTTCAGTGTCCACTGTCCAGTCCAGCGACCAAAGAAAAAAATAAAAATAAAAAAAATAAAAAAATAAAAAAAAAAAAATCGATAAGAAAGTGTAAGATGGACGAGAGAAGCTAGGAAGAGAAGCATGGAGCCGGGAGCTATGGTGATGAGGGGATTGCTAATTTAGTCGCAGAAAATTTCCCATATCTTTCTCCATTGTATATGCGTCGGCGTCGTCAGAGGCCTGCTTGTTGCGGATCCTAATTAAACGTCGTAATATAATGCAGGGTCATTAAAAAGTCGGTCTCTCGGGGAATATTTTGGGACTGGGTAAAAAATAATCATAGGCCGGCAGGTTATGGGATGGTCCCATGGATACTTAAAGAAACTAAACTCAAGTTTTCGGCTGTTACGGCGCCGGACTCGTTCAAAACCCCTTCATTTCAGCGCATAGGCAATTTGATCTCCGGAGAGTTAAAATAGTTGCTCGAAGTCGAAGCACACCTTCAATGAAAGCGCGACGGCAACGCGTCGAGTACCCTCTCACGTCGCGCCGGACTCGTTCAAAACCCCTTCATTTCAGCGCATAGGCAATTTGATCTCCGGAGAGTTAAAATAGTTGCTCGAAGTTGAAGCACACCATCAATGAAGGCGCGACGGCAACACGTCGAGTACCCTCTCACGTCGCGCCGGACTCGTTCAAAACCCCCTCATTTCAGCGCATAGGCAATTTGATCTCCGGAGAGTTAAAATAGTTGCTCGAAGTTGAAACACACCTTTGATGAAGGCGTGGCGGCAGCACGGTGCCCACGCTCTCACTATGAGTTGTACACGTTGCGTCGGACTCGTTCCAAACTCCTTCATTTCAGCGCATAGGCAATTTGATCTCCGGAGAGTTAAAATAGTTGCTCGAAATCGAAGCACACTTTCGATGAAGGCGCGACGTGGTGATGCGCAATAACCTCACCAAGAATTCTAAGTTAAAATCTTCAGCTAAATTAATGTTTTTATTCTTAGGATTTTTTTTCGGAGTCAGTCTGTTTTCAAATATCGTGATTTTGATTATACCGGTTGTAACTAAATGGCAGCCTTTCTCAACTGTCACTTATTTAGTGTTACGACCTCCCAATCAACCAGACAAGGTTATGATGATAAGGACATTGTCATTCTAGTTGTAACAACTAAACATTTTTTACTCGGTGTCGGTATTCCCAAGAAGATACTTTCTATGGTAGACTTTCAGCTAAGGTGTATAAACATTTTAATGCATGTCTTCTTAAAAACAATCGAAAATGTAGTTATTTTTTAACCCTCCCAACTGGATCAGATCATCCGGTAAACTGAAAGTATAATGAAGATCAACGCGTTTCTTTTCTCACCATCGCGTCTCTATTTTGGTGTATGACCGAAATGCCAAAATACTAACCGAAACCCGATTTTTCAAAGACCCTGCGCTGGAGTGCCGGACGATTACCTTCCAAATGCCAAACTGATTGGATACCCCTCGTAAATTGGTCATCGTAATCCGACTTATAGCTCTTACTACTTGTCGACAACATTACGCTAATTATATAAACATATATACACTTCATTCAGTCTATTGTGGGTCTGGTCTCGAAATCATCGTGAAATTGAGCTGAAAAACAGGAAACAAACAATGTATTAGCTATAAGTATGTTACAGATGGATTCCAGTCATTTTAAATCAACATTTTGGGGGGGAAAATTATCCCATCAAGCCCACAAACTATGGATATAAACCCTACTTTAAATGAAGCGTTATATAATTTGATTGAATCGTCATTGAGCAGTGCAAAACTATTGACGTAAGACTGATCATGGAAAAATCGTAAAAATATCGCAACTTAATTTCAAAATATCGCGATTTTTCCGTTGAAAAATGCTGCTTGGGTGAGAATTGGTATACTGTGATTAGAATTGAATGACTCAATATTTTTCCCAGCCTCACCCGTGAGATTTTTCCCTGGGACAAATCCCGTGAAATGTCCTGAGGGGACAAGAGCTTCGTGCATATCCATCTAGTTTCCACCCTTAAAGCCCAATTCACACCATCAAAATTTTCATTCAACTCTTGAATGCAACTCGTCGAATGAAAAGATGTATTGTGTGACACTGACGCGAGAAAACGACAATTTGATGGAAAACTGAACGGAAACTTGAATGTGTCATCAAATTCAATATTTAGTAACAACAAGAGTAATCGAACCGATTTTTTTGCGTTCAATTTTCCGCCCAACTTTCCGTTCTTTTATGTCGGATGAAAAGTTCGGTAGTGCGAATTGGATCGCGTTAAGCAGAAAGGAGCCAAGCCACATCAGCTATGGCCAAATTTAGTTGGGCTAGGTATTTAATTTTTTACATAAACACGGTTGAGCGAAAAATGCAAATATCAGTGTATATTTTGCACAGTGCGAAGCAAATTCCTTAACATTTTCAAAGGAATCCGCACAAACGTTCTCTTGTAAAAATCAAATTGTCCAGTTAAATTTGGCAATAGATAATGTGGCTTGGTTCCTTTATGCTGAATGCGGTCCAATTCTGCCGTACTAAGCAAGAATGCCGTAAATCCATCGAGATTTTCCCGCGTTTTTTGGAACTTAACACTATATAAAATAAAATCTGCGTTACCGATGCACCTCAAATTTTCAGGTTAAGTACCTACTTGATAGCGTATTTACGAAAGAATTCTGTATAAACATTGTCCCAAGGTACACAAGTTTTTCTGCTATGATACATTGTTTCCAAAAAATTTAAAATAGCTTTTATGGCGTTTTTGCGTTGCACGGCAGAATTGGGCTCATGTAGGGTACCTATATTGAGAGCGTATGGCCACTGGGCCCCATGGAGAGGCTTAGGACCCCTAAAATGGCGGTGCGTTGTTTTGGTTTTTGTGGAAGGGAGGGGGGTCATTGCCAACTTTTGACGGTTGTCACCAACCGCACTTGCTGCCAACCTTACCACATCCAACATAATTTTTCTCAAAAATTGCACGCGATTAGCCTTAAAAATATGTAAAGAAGTCGCAATAGTGCATTTGGGTAAATTTCTCGTTACGATAAGCAAAGAAAACTACATTTTGAGTCATTTTGCATTACACTAATTTATGGCGTCCGTCATTTTTGGGTCCTAAGGGCTCCATTCAGCCTAAGATGGCTGAGCCAATCAGAGGTAGAGTCCCTTTATACTGAGAGTCAAGACAACACCCCTCATGCAGTCACAAACGAGAATAAAGATTACAGAACGTTTTTCGTAATCTTTGATCGGCCCATTCTCGAATTCCTTTCTTCGTTCCTTCCCTCATTCCGTTTGTTCCTTGCCGAACCCGTAATTCCCCGGTCCATTCCAGATAATAATCTTTGCAATCGGTGAAACTGTAATCTTTATTCCCGTTTGTGACACTGTGAAGGCCTACAATACGGGAACCAATCAGAAATGGATTCACATTGTCTTGACTCTTAGTATAAAGGGACTCTAATCAGAGGTGGTAACACCAGTGGCCATAATCTCTCAACATAGGTACTCTAGGCTCATGTGTTTGATGAAAGTTTCACCATGATGGGTTTACCTTACGATTGTTGAGCAAATGAGCGCGCCTGCTGGTTGGCGGGCCGGTCGACGTGGGGCACAGCGGTGACCATGTAGACCTTCTCCTTGGTCAGGGGCGAGATGGCGACCGGGATGGAGTCCCAGACCCCGGCGCCGCTAGCGTCCGTCCTCTCCGTTGACGTTGACGTTGACGTCGACGTGGACGTCGTCACCGGCGTCGTGGGGCTCGTCCGCTTCCCCTCGGCGATGACCTTGCTCGCCCGCAAGCTCGACTCCGCGCCGGCCGCGTCCGGGCTCAAGTGGTTGAGAGGGTGCGGGTTTCCCAGGCCCACCGAGCGCCGCTCCGAGTAGATGTGCCGCTTCTCGTTGTCGCGGCTGTTGTACGTCGACACGAACGAGTTCGAGAACACCTGGATCGGGAAGGAGAATGAAGATGAGTCTTTCTTGGTGATATCGAATGAATAGACCACGTTTCGATGGTGAAACTGCAAAAATGCGTATATCGGTTGCGGTGTTTGAAAATCTCCGCTCCTATTATATTTTTTAAAAGGAAACCGAGCCAACATCGTGGCTTGAAATTTTCACAGAATATTTTTCACATAGAGAAGAAAAATATCCGAAGTGCTCAATAAATGATGTTAAGTGGTTTTCCATATGAAAAATAAAGTATGACAGGAAGTCTGCGACGCCGCAAACCGATATACGCATTTCTGCAGTTTCGCCATCGATTTGTATCGCATTTAGCTGAAAAGAACCAGCGGGCTGATTATTGAAATTAACAGACGAAGCTATAGACAAAGAAGTCCTAGGGAGTATGGAGCTATTCTATCGGTTAAAGTGGGTACTTCCTATAGACTTGGAGAGAAAATGATGGACTAAGTATAGGGTCCCTCGTGGGTTGCCGTTAGTTAGTCTATCACCTACCTCCTTTCAGTGGCGTGGCGTGATATGCGATGTATCGATTGTTATGCCATTTAAACCTATGGTGAAGAATCGATTATTAAGGTGTTCGCTGCGAACACTCTGTCTATCGACCCTTTTCCATAGGTTTGAATGGCATAACAAGCGATACATCGCAAAGCACGCCACGCCACTGCCTCCTTTGTACATTGCAACCACCCGCTTCCACTAAGAGAATCCCTCCGTACCCCTTTTGTCTTCTATGTCTACAGCTTTGTCTATCAATTTCAATAATAGGCTCGCAGCTCCATTACAGTGTTGTAAAACTGTCGCTTCTTCATATTTATCTAACAAATCTTCGAATAGCCAATAGTTTTGGCTTCCCACCGGAAAATTGTTAATTTTTAAGGAAAATAATTGTGTGAATTTTAATACTGTGCATAAATTAAGTACTTTTGAAAGAAAACAAGAAGTCGCACGATTTTAAAAACACTGTAATCGCGCTGGTTCCTTTTTGCTAAATGCGATCCATTTTGCAATATAAAGAAGCGCAATTGCTGACCAGTCCTTAAAAACACCAATCTACACAGGAAATGATTGGCAAATTCGTCATTTCTGAAATGAGCCAGAAATTTTAGTTGCTTATCGCACAACGCAGTTCAAATGTGATGGGGTCAGGATGCCTCTTATGACCCAATTAAAGCATGAAGGCTGAAGGTAAGTTGGACTGCATTTTGCAATTAGGGACTACAACCTCTGGCTCATCTATAAAAACACTTGCGTGCATAGGGAAAATATTGGTACATACGTTGTTTCTAAACCGAGTCAGAAATTTCAGTTCCTAATAAATTGCAGAGTGCAGTCCAAATGGAGCTCATGCTTGCCACAGCACGAGGTGTCATAAAACGCAAGAGAGATTTGAAACATAGGAATTATCCGTGAAATATTTCTGGAAATTTCGCGGGTCGACTTTCAGACGACTTGCTGAAGAAAGTTAAAAGTGTCAGCGTCAAGAGTTAATTTCAGTAATTTTCTTTGCCTGAATTGTGTTTGGCTATGAAACTCATATCACGACACTTAAATTTGCACATTGTCTAGTGGTCAATTGAAAGTCCCCATTTCAATGGCGTGGCGTGCTTTGCGATACACCGATTGATCTGCCATTCAAATCTATGGAAAAGGGCCGATAAACAGAATCGATTCTAGCTTCAAATGGGGAAACATTGATAATCGATCAGTCGAGCTTCGGCACTGCCTCATATTTTCAGCATCTTTTTTTTCTTTTTTTCTTTTTTTTCTTTATTGAATAATTAAATATCAATTTAGCATCAAAGAAAGAGGAGATTTAATTAACATATGGGTAAACAAGGCTAAAAAATGATTAAAACACTAAAAGGCAGGACGTTTCGAGCTGTTACCAGCTCATTTTCAGCTGCAAAAACACATAAAAACAAGTAAAAAACTGAGTGGCGACCTGACCCCAGCCGTTATCACGTAACCACTCCACTCCGTAACGGCTGGGGTCAGGTCGCCACTCAGTTTTTTACTTGTTTTTATGTGTTTTTGCAGCTGAAAATGAGCTGGTAACAGCTCGAAACGTCCTGCCTTTTAGTGTTTTAATCATTTTTTAGCCTTGTTTACCCATATGTTAATTAAATCTCCTCTTTCTTCGTATATCCGGGCTATGTTTTTGTGCTTTATCGTTTAGCATCAAATTCAGCATCTAGAGAATCCTTCTCGGAGGGGAAAATTCGTCGAGGGTCAAGGAAAATACTTTACCTCACTTCCCGTCAGGAAATTCTCCGGGATATTCTTCGCCGGATGGATCTGCGCGATATGGTCCTCCTGGCCAATGCCCAGCGTCTGTCCGTGCTTGTGGTTCGAGAACCCCTGCGCCGTCCAATTGTCGATGTTCTTCTGGAGCCTGAAGAGGTCGATGCCGTTGCCCTTGGCCCTGTTCTCGTCCAGGAACTGCTGCAGGTGGTCCAGCGTCACGAACGGCCGCTCGGCCAGCGTCGTCTCGGGCAGCTGATTGATCGCCGTGATCAGGTTCTCCGTCGACGTCACGGACGTCACGGCCTGCCCCTCCGCGTCCAGCGGCGACACCATGTACGGCACGATGATCTGAATCTGCTTCTTCTTCTTCAGCGGCGAGGGACCCACCGTCGTTTGATACTCCGAGCCCGCCGTCGACTGGAACCCGGATCCAGGTGTCGATTGGAACCCGGAACCAGGGGTCGATTGGAACCCGGAACCAGGGGTCGATTGGAACCCGGAACCAGGGGTCGATTGGAACCCGGAACCAGGGGTCGATTGGAACCCGGAACCAGGAGTCGATTGGAACCCGGACCCAGGTATCGATTGGAATCCAGATTCAGGTGTTGATTGGAATCCGGAGCCAAGTGTCGATTGGAACCCGGAACCTGGTGTTGACTGGAACCCGGAACCCAAAGCGGGCCGCGACGACCACAGATCTTGCGACCAGTCGGCTGAGACAGGGGGAGGGCTGAGGTAGTTGAACGCCGGGTCACCCGGTCTTTCTTGAGCGCGGCCTTCCTCCACCTAAAGGATGTGAAAAAGACAAGAGCTTTATCAGTTTTAGAGCAATTATAGTTCAATTTGAATGGAGGATGTAGGTAAAATTGCAACGTTTTTGAGAAAAACGAATTTAAAGTTTAAAAATTACGCTTAGACGTGTAGACCATGCAAAGTTCAATTATGATAATTGAGTTTCTAAGGCCAACTTTTTGTGAAGTTTACTTTGAAACTAGCCATACGATCAAATGGACCGCGTTAAGCAGAAAGGATTCAAGCCACATCAGCTAATGCCAAATGTAATTGGGCAGTTTAATTTTTGATATGAAAACGGTTGTGCGGACTTTTTTTTGTAAATTTAAGCACATTTTTTACATTGTACGAAGCAAATTCCTGAAACTTTTCAAAGGAATTTGCAAAAACGTTCTATTGTAAAAAACTAAATTGCCCAGTTGAATTTGACAATGGCTGATGTGGCTTGGTTCCTCTCTGTTAAACGCGGTCCAAATGATCTGTCTGTTGTCACTACCCTCTTTTTGTTAAAATAAAGCGATCAGTACTACCGTGCTAAGGAGAAACGACATATAGTCCTTCAGGCGTTGCCAAATTTCCTTTGGTAAATCATGAATTTTCGAAAAAATTTGTAAATATTTTCCTCCCAATTTTTCGGATGATTTTGTTCGCAATTTTACATGAAGTTCCCGAACATTTCTCGGAAAAATATTCATGACTTTTCTCAAAAATAAACATTTTATCGAAGGAAATTTGGTAACTCTCGAATGTTCATACGGCGTTTTACCTTAGCACGGCAGAGTGAGTAAAGTGAAAAACTCTAAGAACTCTATCAGGACTTCTGGAAGATCAAGAAAAAATTTACAGGCGACTAGAAAATTGGGTTACCTGAGAGACGTTGAAGAACTGCGTGGGTTTGAGGCTGGACACCTCCGGCTGGTACGTGGTCGGGTAGTCGGTCAATGTCGTGTCCTCGCTGGACAGCGTGGACGTCTGCGTGACCGGCCAATCGAAGTCCGCGTACGACTGAGACTGCACCAAATCCAACCCGGTGTACCCGTCGGTCGTCGTCCGGAACGGCGACCCTGTCAGGTTCGTGATAATATTCCCCGCGCTGGGGTTCAAATCCGGATACGGCGTCGAAGAAGGCTCATACGCGGGCTCGCTGGAGGTGGGCAAAGTGGCCGTCTGGACGCCGCCGGTCAGGCTGTTGTCGACAGTCTCCGGGACGAAGATGGGTCGCGGCGTGCTGAGGTAGTTGGTACTGTCATGCTTGGGCTCATGCGAGTAGTTCGTCGGGACGTCGATGAGCGGGGACTGGATGATCTCCTGGGGGTACTCGATGGAGGCGAGATACGACGCGACCGGCCGGCTCTTGACGGTCTCGATGCTGGCCGGGAGCCGGAGCGCCCCGGGGATGATCCCCGGGACGATCTTCTGAGGCCCGTTGAACCGGTTGAAGGGCTGCATCAGGTGCATCGGGATCGGCTGCGGGAAGATCGCCATCGGGGCGTAGCGGAAGTTGGCGAACTGCTGCATCGGTCGGATCGTGTTGACCTCCGGCTTCCGCGGGTTGGTGTTGTAGATGGGGAGCTCCTGGTTGGCCTTGGCGTTCTGGTCGGCGGCGATGTTGTAGATGAAGATCTTGTTCGGGGGCAGGCTCATCGACGGCGGGAGCCCGCGGAAGTCGTTGTTCAGGGGGATGTACGGGGGNGGGGTTGGGGAAGGGGGGCGGTTTCTCGTACTCGAAGTCGGACGATGCCGATGGGAACGGCTCGTTGGAGGGTTGCTTCAGGCCGATCGGCATAGGGGGCGGGCGCACGTTCTTGATCGGCGGTTTTGGGGGTTGTTGCGGGCGCGGTGAAAAGAAGTTTAGGATGGATTGGAGCATCCCTGCAGGTCGCTCTGGCCGGTTGACCAGGGTCACTTGCATCGGAGGTTCCTTCTTGAAGCCTGATCCGCCGTTGGGGTAGGTCAGGAAATTCTGCGACGGGCCCGACGGTATCGGTATGTTCCGGTTGTAGTGGAACTCGGGGTTCGGGATATTAAGACTGGACGGCTTTCTGATTGGTTGTTGCTCTTGTGGGGGCGGGGATGGGGGCGGAGAGTTCTGGACGGAGGCTGCGGGGATATTATCCCCTCCGGGGTGGGGTTCAGAGTTGATGAAATTCGGCGGTGGGGGCATCGGGGGGAACCTACCCTGGGATCCATCTTGATTGTGAAGCGGCGGGAACCCTCCCTGGTTGTGTGGAGGGTACCCCCCTTGCGGTGGTGGTGGAGGGTAGCCACTGGGGGTGTTGATGTTCGAAGGGGGTGGAAGGCGGATGGCCCGGGCGATTGGTATCCAGGGGAAGGCGTTGCAGTTATCACATCTGTTCGTGAATTCCGAGCTGCGTTGGTAAGGCGGGAAATTTCTCAAATCTTTTGAGACCCTTTCTACAGATTTGTTTTCATTTTCGGATGATCCGAGGATCTCAGCCTCTATGTTACGTTCGTCGTCGGCCCGTTTGACTTGGCTCAAGGATATCCGTTCGTCGATGACTAGACCGCGTTTCCTGACGACCTCTTTGTCGCGACCGTTGTCGATGGGCCTGAAGCCCGATTCTAATACTGGCTCGTTTATATTCGGGACGTGGATGGGTTTGCTGTTGATGCTATCGCTGTGGCAGTGGGTGGAGAGCAGTGTGACTAGGAGCAGGGAAGCGTGGAGCCGGACCTGAAACAAAACAGAACAATGCTGCTGTAAAATTGAGATGTATTTTGGGCGCAAGTAGAGAAGAATGGAGATGGCGACTAGGGATGTCCTTGGAATGTCACGTAGAGGTGGATTCTAAGCAGTGGCGTGGCGTGCTTGGCGATATATCGATTGATCTGTCATTTAAACCTATGGGGAAGGATCGATAGACAGGGTGTTTGCTACGAACTCCTTGATAATCTAGTCTTTACCATAGCTTCAAAAATATATCGAATCGGAAATATCGATAATCGATATCGCCTCGCCACTGTTCGGCACATCGGTGGCCAGAGTGCGAAACCACGTATGTCCGTTTCCGTCATTCACAAGGTTAACCGATGTCATGCATACTTTATGTTGCTTTGGAAAACTAGTCGAGGTAAATTGTTGACAATTCTCTTGATTATTTTCTCTGTTAGTAGAATATATTCCTTGAAAATTTCAAGCTAAAAAGTTGGCTTGTTTTTCTTCATTAAAGAAAACTTTACATATTATGCTCAGATATCTAATTTTTTGGCGATTTCTAGGACCGGCAACGTTTTATTACATTTAAATAATGCATTCCTCGGAAAATTGACAACGTCGCGATAAAAATCAGTTGTTTTACCTCATCAACACAAGTTGCAATTCTAGAATCAAGCTAAGGTGTATATAAATTCAAAGCTTCAAGTCAAGCAGGCGATGGACACTGAACGGACACTATTCGGGCTCCATGATGTCTGTGTTACATACGCACGGAAGTGAAGGCGTTTTGATTTTAGACACCAGCCGCTTCAGCAGTGACACTCTACAGAGCGAGTTAATGAGGAGAGGCTCACAAAATGCAGACACATGAAAAGCCCATATTATATTAACACAAAACGTAGAGCTTTTAGGATTGTTTTCATTGATTTTCTCCTAAAATTCTCTGTAAGAAGCCTGGTTTCAGCGTCTAAACTAACAGAACGGTAATATAATTACGAACGACCCTCAACCGTTGGAATTGAGCCGTCGAACAAAAGAGATGCAGCTAAATTATATCACGCACCATGGATCGAATTGTGTAAATATCTCTATGAGCTGATCAGAAAGGTCTGAAATCCATTCCTTAATTCAAAATTTAATAGACTTGCGAAAAGATTGCATTATTGTTGCTGAAATGGTTTCTAGCCTGGATATGAACAACATATCTCAAAAGATGGAACATTTTTTTAAATACAGTGCCCAGTTTATGGCGAGAAACTTTTGAAGAACATTTTGAAGAGGAAAATACAATAAGAGTTTGCAGTTTCGAATTTATTTACTTTCAAAATACTGAAAATTTGACATATCTTTGTTAAAACGACAAAAACATCGTTAAATTCCAAAATTTTGACGATCTGCTCAGAGGTAATAATAAACGAATCTGCAGTATAGAAAGTCCGTTTACAGCTGTAGAAGTTAGCGCCACTCCAAAACTCTAGGATATCGACAAAAAACAATAGCTGGGCATCCACTGCGAGACTAAAGCAACTCCCTCGTAATTTTTAACCGCGGAGTCAAGCACAACTTTTGCTTTCCCCAGAAATCGTAAAATATTGTCGCTCTCGGCTCGGCCGTAAATATTTAAGCACGGCCCGGGATATCTGACTTGAACTCTCGACTTTCCAAAGATAAGCTCAGCGAATCCTGATCGCCTCCGATGCTGTCTCCATGGGTGTGTTTTTTGAGCGCCTCCTAGTTTCGTCGAAAAATTGTTCTCTCGAAAAGCATAATCGCAACCTGGAAGTGCGTTGCTTTTACGAGAAGGTTGGAATCCTCCGCAAGATTGGTTTTGTCTTGCCATTTGGCCAGTGACAAGGAATTTTTTCACAGTTGTAGAATAGTCATGCTTACTTGAAAGTTCGAAAAAAAGCCGTAAAGGTCATTAAAATGTCAAACATGTTATTTCAGCTCCTCTCCTGAGGAGACCTCATTTGCTTAACAGTGTGTTTGAGGAAGAGTAAAGAAATTTAAATTTTTAAGAAAACTCACTTGCACGTTGTTTATTTCTTTTATACCGGTTGGACGTGTTTTGGTCTCATCGCGAGACCATCATCAGCGGTTCGCTGATGAAATTTTAATTATTAAGTTCTTGTGCGAACCCGAACATCAACGTCACAGTAAAGAAATCTTGTAATAAAGCCTAAAAATTACCAACCTATATTTTTTCGAATTTCGTCGATGGGGAAGTACTGAAAAAGTACTGAATATTTCGGTTGAGGAGGTACTAAAACTCTCGGGAGTGTGCTGAAAAAGTGCTGTAAAAATACTCCTTTTTGGCGAGCCTGATGAAAAAAAGTTACCGGCTTTATAAACATACCGTCCGTTCCGGGCTCAGAGGTTGAAAGTTCTGGGCGCTGGAGCCGTAGTTTCGATTACTCCGGGTGCTGCACCCAGAACTTTCGGCCTCTAAGCCCGGAACGCGGACAGTATGTCTACATAGCCCGTAAGTACTACTTCCACGGCCAGAGTTTTTTCTTTTTTTTTCAGAGTAGACACCCTGGTGATCCACACGTTAGTCCAGGATTCCATTTGTCTCTCCTTTTGGACTTTCGTGTGCTGTTGGTAGGCCACTGGACCTCGGCACAGGTCCTCGAAGTGGCTGCCGGGCCGGCCGGCCGGAGATAACTAATACTTAATGACGCAATATGTCATGGGGCACGGGCGCACGTTGCTCATTGTTTGAGGAGGCTTTCAGCCAAGTGAGTGGCTCCATTTCCCTTTTTTCAAACAAACGCGCGTCGCCTCGCAAATGGCCCCACCGTTGTCGAAAGTCACCGTAACTTACGCAGCTTGTCCCCCGTTGCCGCCTCGCGAGGGTAAAGTTTCCATACAGTAGCGTAGCGTGAATTGCGATGTATCGATTATTATGCCATTCAAACCTATGGTAAAGAATCGATTATTAAGATGTTCGCTGTGAACACCCTGTTTATCGATCATTTTCCATAGGTTTAAATGAAAGATCAATCGATACATCGCAAAGCATGCCACGTCATTGGTTTCCGCAATTTTCCTCAACATCCATTTGATAGATCTCAAGTTCTACCGTGATACCGAAGGGAGCCGAAACTGTCAAAATTTCGAAGTTGGAATCCGTCAAATCGCTTTTGGATGAAATAACTGAAATAGCTAAAACAGCAAAATTTGTCTTATCTCTATGAAAACGAGACATGAGAGAGCCGTGAGTACGCAAAAATGATGTAGTCCCAGACAAGACAGCCTTAAGGAGCATTATTCCTCCACAGAGCCAATAAAAACAGAGATTTTAAGTAACATGCCGCTCTTTGCAGCCAATTTCTAACTTGAAAATGTATTTGATGTAGGTCCAAAACGCAAACACGAATGCATGCAGAAGATAGCACCTGAGACAGTCTTATTGTCTAACACTAACCTAACATAAAAATGAATAATATCCTTTTGCATGGTTGAAATCAAATTGGTCAATTTATGATCATCTCAACGATGTCCAAGAGTCTTTCGGATGACTGGTGGCAATTTGACGAAGAATGGAGGATTCTCTAAATAAAGGTTTCCCTTCCGAAGCTACTGAGCCCAATTTCTCAACATTTCATTTTTGCACTTACGGCTCTCTTCGCTATCATGGCAGCCTACGCAACTGCCTCGGGTGCGTATCCTGTAAATTCAAGCCTATCAGAATAAGATATCTCCAAGACCAATTGCTCAGTCTGGCAGACACGGATTGTGCTCCAACGGGATGCACAAAAGAAAAGCTGCCAAATTTCGTAAAGCTCTTGAAATTATACGATAAATTTACACATTAATCTGCACAATGTTGCAACCAAGCGAAAGAATCCGCCGGACCCGCACGTGACCAGAAATATTAATCCCGGGCCAAGCCCCAAACTTGGAACTCCGAGCTTTTAGGGGGCGTTTGCCATATTTTCGTAAAATATATATTTCATATCTTCAAAACATGGTTCTGAAGAGGACCAGTTTCATTGTACTTTTCACATTCGGCAATAACGGCTAAAAGCATCGGTGGATAACACAGGCTGATGACAATAGTAGCTTGAGTACCCGTGACCGCCAGCTCGGTACCTTTTCCTAAGCGTTCGGTAAATGACGAAAAATCCGAACGAATTTGCTCTAGAGATTGCGCAATTTTCACCAGTTTCACAAAACATTTGCATAATAAGTCTGACATTGAAGATTGGCGCAATTTGTGTACATAGTAAACGTGTCTAAAGACGGAATGAGGCATGGGGCGGTTTTAGACATCTTTGACTCGCGTGACGAAATACTTTTTCCTTTTTTAATCATCTCCTTGCAAACCAGCAAAGGGTTAAAAAGGCCCGTTTCCCCCATTTCACTATGTATAATTGAATGAAACATTGATACGCACAAGAAATAAAAATATAGTAGCTGAACTAAGAGGAAATTAAACGGCCAAGTAAATAAATCGGCACCTTGAAAATAAATTAAGCTGATAATTAAAATATATTAGGCTGGTGAAGCGAATTTTCAATGGAGGGGGTGGTGGCAGGTCCTGGAGGCCTCCCTACTACGATATGACCCTTGTATTGGTAACTTAATTTCAAATTTGTCGGTATTACTCAATTTATCCGTGTTATTGGTTTACAGAGATGGTGTCATTCGCACCACACAAGAATATAACAATTTCTTAAATTTCCTGGCAATGCAACTTACAATTAGATCAAATTTTTAAGAAATTGAAATTGATTTTCCTCTTGAACTCTTGAACTTTCATTATTTATGATTTTGGTTATTTTTTTATCTTTGTTTTGAGACAGATCATTAATTATTACGAGTTTTCTTTAATATTGTATTTTCCTTTCAATTGTTTTTCACTGTATTTAATTGATTATCATCGGTATTTATGTTCGGTTATTATCTACGAAATCTCTTAGATTCTGAGCAGTTATCGATGTATATAAGATATGGGGAACTCCAAAAAAGCTGCGGAACTCCTATTTTGTTATGCTCTGTGCGGTCTTCGAGGA